TTCTCTCTCTCTCTTTCTCTCTCTCTTTTCACCATTCACTTTCATTTATGAACGGCCAACATCTCTGCGAAAGAATTTTGTTTAATCGTAGCTGTAAGTAGAATTCTTGAAAACTTCAACTTACTTTTACTACTTTTCAGTGTCAATATATTTTACATTTTAAAGAAAATTTTCACAGACACCTATTAGTTATGTATTAGGTATAATCTGACCACTCGCGAGGGAATTTGTTTTTGTTTTGCAAGGAGATTGCACATGCAATCTGATGTTGAAATAAAATGCTTTATTATAATTACTCTAGGTTTAAATTCATGTGCACTGAAATCCGAAATGACATTTGAAACCTTAGCTGGGTCGACTGCATTTGTCTTAATGAAAAGTCAGCCTGGCTTCAGAACTTAAGAAATATGACGTTAAATTCTGTTCTTAATTATTCAACGTTGTTAATTTTTACATTTTTTTCTGTTTCAGATGCAGACAATAATGTACCACAATTCCAGCGGTAGCGAGGCTTACAGCGGAAACCTGAAACGAAAGGAAATCCACAGGGCCATTTCTCTGCATCCAGTGAAAAAGTACAAAAACCTCTATAGAATTGATAACTACATGACGGTAATTTAGTTAACATTTTTAAACGTTCAGCATGTAATTATTTTCTCGGCAATTTGGCGATTGAGGTTCGATCCTAATTATTCCGGAAAAAAATGCCCTAATCATTATGATAATGGTTTAAATTAATTAAGTTAAAAGGCGATAATATTTTCATATCTTCTCCGGAACAGAGAGGATTAATTTATATGAAAACGTCACTTTATAGTATGATTAACTTTTATCTCCTTTCTTTAAAAAATATTAAGATTGTAGTTCATAATTTCCTGGTATTATAGGTTTAAATCTTACGATGTTATTAAGTTCAATGTCATCCGAGTTTATTATTTATTGTCCAATTTGAAATATGAATTGTTCAAACTATTTAGATAATTAAAAACCCTCATTTGAAATAATTAAGATTCATGATTAAATAAAGCTTGAAACTTCATTCTAACTACACTTTTGTTAATGTAGAAAGAATACGTGAAAAGTTTTATTTTTTAACAAATATTTCATAACTTCAGTTTTCTTTTGTATAAATTAAGTCCAATAATATTAATCTATCACAAATATAAAGGAAATTGATATTTTTAAAGTATAAAACCGAAGCAATTTTTGTGAAGTAAATAAAACTTTAGTACAGTTTTAAATATATATTTTACTAGCTTTTCATTTTTCTAAATTTTTTCAGCAATTGTTGATACAGGATAGAAAGTTCGACATTGTTAAAATCGAACGAGAAATATTACGAACTGAAAGTCTGATTAGGCAGACGAATTTCCCTCGGAAGATTTTCAACCAATCTGAATTAGAAAAATCGCAAATTCTGGGTAAGTAAATTTAATTTAACCTGATTCGAAAATTGTCGACAACTTTTTATCATATTATTTTGAAATCGTGATGAAATATAAAAAATACTTTTTTTGCAATGTATAATTTCACTTTTTTCAATCATACATGTATTTGTTAAATTTAAACAATATTTTTAAATCCCAGGCCCTGAAGATGATCTCAGTAAAGATCGAAACGTTGGCACGATTAAGAAAATGTTTTTGTGAAACCTACATCACACCAGACCGCACCTCAGGATTTCCAAATAATCATGACTGACAGTCACTAATCACCACACATTTTTACCATGTAGTAAAACCATGCATTCCCTGAACCTTTGGAAAGTCGTTTGTATGATCAGCAAACCCTCCAGAGGGAGGTTTAGGTCCCAAAAATCCATGAGATAACCTAACAGTCCCATCAGCCTTATCAAGCTGCAAACCATATTACCTTTCAACTTCACAACTCCTGCACCCATTGCGTTGTAGACATCATCGCTACCTCCGTTAAATTTAAGCAACTGATGACATTTTGAACATCCCGCAAGTATTAGAGAGCCAAATCTGACTTTAGGTTAAGAGTATACTTTCTTCTTATAGTATTTTCTCCTTTTCTCTTTCTCCCTGGCTCTCTCTCTTTTTATCTCTTCTCTCTATCTTTGTAACTATCTATCTAATTGAGTGTCTTTTATGTCATACTTTTTTATATCTTTCTGTTTCTCTCTTTCCTTCTTTCTCTCCTTCCCCCTTCTCCCTGGCTCTCTCTCCCTTCTCTCTACCTTTATAACTCTATCTTTATAACTATCTATCTAACTGAGTGTCTATTTGTCTTTTCACTCATACTTTTTTATATCTTCCTGTATCACTCTTTTCTTCTTTTTCTCCTTTTCACTTTCTCCCTAGCTCTCTCACTTTTTCTCTCTTTCTCACTTCTCTCTTTTTATTTTTATAACTATCTATCTAATTGAGTGTCTATTTGCCTTTTCTTTCATACTTTTTTATATCCTTCTGTTTCTTTCTTTCCTTCTTTCTCTCCTTTTCTCTTTCTTCCTGGCTCTCTCTCTTTTTCTCTCTTTTTTATCTTTTTTATTTTTCTTTATCTCTCTTTCTCTTTCTCCCTAGCTCTGTATATCATCTCTCTGGCTGTTTGTCTCTCTCTTTCTCTCTCTTTTCTTAATTACTTTTCTTTCTCGCTCTTCCCTGTATCATTCTTTTTCATTTCATCCACTCAGTCTTTCTCTCTCTCTCTCTCTCTCTCTCTCTCTCTCTCTGTCTCTCACCTTTCATCTTTCCACTTCTTATTTATTTCACTCTTTCACTCCAACGTTTGTAGAGTGTCAGTGATATCGTCAAAAAACCTAAAACTTGAGTTGTTCCACCATCTGCAGAAGATGCAAACTGACAATACAGCCAAAAATTAAAGCTATTAAACTCATAAAACGCCGAACTGACCTCGCGTTAAGAAAACGTATATCAAGGGGCATTGTACTATCCTAAAAGTGAGACATTCCTTTGATTGACCCTCTACAACCTTAAGATTAACAGAGCTAAAAGCCAATACAGTCTAACTTAGCCGAGTAACATAACTGTATACCAGTCAAACATAGACTTACAAATGTAACGATGAGCTGGGTTATTTCCAGCAGGTGCTGGAATCATGAAGTTTTTTCGGAGGATCTACGGAAGAGGTCAACACAGAGAAAAACCAGAGAAAACTTCCTTTCGGTTTTCGCCGAGCTTTCGACAGTTTTTATACTGTTATCTTCAGGGCCTGTTTTATTGTCATATAAAAAACAACAATTAAAAACATGAAAAAACAAATTGCACAAAAATTGAAATATCTTACTTAAACCTTAATGGGGAAATAAACAAAAACACTATGACTTTTTATTTCCTCATTAAGGTTTAAGTAAGATATTTTAATTTTTGTGCAATTTGTTTTTTCATGTTTTTAATTGTTGTTTTTTAGATGACAATAAAACAGGCCCTGAAAATGACAGTATAAAAACTGTCGAAAACTCGGCGAAAACAAAAGGGAAGTTTTTCTCTGGTTTTTCTCTGTGTTGACCTCTTCCGTAGATCCTCCGAAAAAACTTCATGGACTTACAAACTATCCTGGCTAAACATTGACCAGTTTAACACGATCGGCACTTGATCCCTCACCGGGTCTGTCTACTTTCTCGCCGTCTTAGATACCACTCAAACTCATTTTGGATTACGTCATCTTCAGTGAGGAAAAAATATTATTCATTATTATTCTAAAAATATTATTCAATTGTCACTTTCATTAGGCACGAAATTTCTCTATATATGCTGGGTTTTTTTCTATTATTGCTGATGGTCCTCAAGGAAGTAGACTGGCATCACTATATACCCTCTACTCATCTTCACTGCCTCATCTACTATAAACCTTTGTATTCGCCGATGGCATGTCTATTCTCTCTCCTAACCGACTCCTAACTTCAACCTTTATTCTATTGACCTGTATAGGTCTATTGTGGAATCCCTATGATTTAGACCACTGTTGGCTACAAAACTAACTTAAGAGTATACTTTGTTCCGCATACTACCTCACTTTGTATTATAATTCGATTGGCATTATCATGTTGCTCGAGATTTCTCTATATCTGCTATTTTTTCTATCATTGCTGATGCTCCTCAAGGAAGTACACTGGCACCACTTTATACCCTCTACTCACCTTCACCGTAATGCTATAACCTTTCTATTCGCCGATGACATGGCTGTTCTCTCCTAACCGACTCCTAACTTCAACCGTTACTCTACTGATCTGTATAGGTCTATTGTGGGATCCCTGTGATTTAGACCACTGTTGGGTACAAAACTAACTTAAGAGTATACTTTCTTCCGCATATACCTCATTTTCTACTATTATTCAATTGGTACTTTCATGTAGCTCGAGATTTCTCTATAACTGCTATTTTTTCTATCACTGCTGATGCTCCTCGAGGAATTATACTGGCACCACTTTACACCCTCTACTCACTTTCACCGCAATTCTATAACCTTTGTATTTGTCGATGGCATGACTGTTCTCTCTCCTGACAACCTCAACTTCAACCTTTACTCTACTGCGATCTGTATAGGTCTTTTGTGGAATCCCTATGATTTAGATCACTGTTGGCTACAAAAGTTTCTTCGGTGCCTCTTTGCGCACTTCAAATTTTTATAAAATCTTGGTTCATCATAGTTGCCTCACTCCTGGTGCTTTAGTTCAGTGCTTGAGTTATTTTTTTATTATTTTTTTTTAGCGCATTCTGCCTAGTTGCTGTTCCGGTCCCATAGGTTAGAGGGCCGCCTCTTCTCTGGCTCGCTGGTCATCCTGTTCCTTCTCCTAGGCCTAGCAGGCAATTTATAGACTAGTATAGTTGGAACTTCTGGAGTCTAAGAGTGCTTTTATCTGTCTGACCGTCCAGATTAATCCCTTCATATAGTTTTCAACTTTGAAAAAAAAAAAATCTTCCTACAGTCTTCCTCAGGAATATTACTATACTCATGCCATACTAAGTACACAACTTAGAAATTTACATAGAATGTTTTGCGTTTTGAGCGACTCTACTTAATAATAAAATAACAATAATAAACAACTGTTTTTGAGCAGTGTTCAGTAGTTTTAAGAAGTCAAAGTTTTTACTAAAAGACACCAAATTGTCCGCAGTATCCATCTTCAACAACTTTGCCCTAATTGAAGGATGCTCTATATAGACGCCACCCGATATGAGAGTTCGGATTGTTGCATGAAACAATTTACAGCACTGATATTGATGTCTACCCTAGTGTGCGTTGTGGGTGAATGTACTTATTAGCGTGAATGCTGAGAGACGGTCGATCGCGGAATATTGAGTTCTCTATCAACTACTAGTTAAGTTAGTGTATAATAGGTGTAAAGGGTGATGATGGAATCTTCTCCACCCCACATCAACTGTGTGGCTGTCGATAGCACCAGGAGCCCACCTCGAGGTCCGCCCCGGTGATTCTCGATGCCGGTAGTTTATCGTAAAGTACAAAAGCTCGTGAAGTGATAAGCTCAACTCTGTACACGCGTGTATGTGCAGATTTGAGCTTATATAAATCAGTAATCAGTATTCTAACGATATAATATTTGCGTATATCATTATTTTATGGTTTTCTAGGGCAACCTCCAGGACTTAGTAAATCAGTGATACGGAGTGAAGCCGAAATTATTCATTGGGAGTTTATTCAGAGATCTCAGTTTTCTGCTTTAAGTGCCAACCCAAGAAGAAAAATCGATGCTTCTCTCAAGGAAGGATTAGACGATGTCATTCGAGAAGTGAGTATCGTATTAACTAATTTTGTTTTTTTGTTTTGTTATTGTTTGTTTTTTAGGTGATGGAGATAATAAATATGTATTCAAAAGAACGTGGAAGGGTGATAGACTTCAAAGAATTATTGTACGGCTATCACAGGATGAACCCTGTTTTCGGTTCTGACTACATTCTCGACATGCTTCTCGTATTTAAAAAATACAGGGGCCGAAAGATGACTGTTCCGGTCCGCAGGCACGCTTACTTGCAACAGCAATTCACCGGTGATGCAGGTTTCATACGATAAACGGCACAAATGTTCATTTTTAACCTAGTTTTGTTCATTTGCAGAAATGGCTTTTCGCGAAGTCTACGAAGGAGAAGAAGTCCCGCCGGGTCAGGAGCGAGAAGGCACGAAGAGAAACCCATCCGGAATCAAAGAAACTTTCGAAATGGGATTGATGAAAATCAGCGAGAACCTGCCTTCGATCATTTTCCCCTCGGCCGAAGGGGATTCGAAAAGGATCAACGACAAATTAATCAATTTCATACTGCCCCTTTCCGGCCGTTTTGAAGTGTTTAGAAGGTTCATTTCAAATTTCGAAGACGTCTGTCTTAAAAATAACGAAAACGTTGCACTGATCGTCGTCTTGTTTCCGAGCGATAAAGAAAACACAGTTCAAAACGTATTAGACTCTATTAAATCTCTTCAAAATAAATATTCCTACGCTAGAATAGTTGCCGTACCGGTGTTTGACAATTTTTCGAGAGCTAACGCTCTTTCAATCGGTGCTTCGCAAGTCAGCGAGCCGAGGGACTTGTTGTTTTTTATCGATGTCGACATAGTGTTTAAGAGTGAGTGTTTGAGGAGAATTCGGACTAACACGGTCAGAGGAAAATCGGTCTATTTTCCCATCGTTTATAGCGAATACGATCCTGAAATTGTTTACAACAAGAAAATTTCACCGAGCCATTTCAATTTTACGGATGTCACTGGATACTGGAGGCAATATGGTTTCGGAATTGGAAGTGTTTACAAATCAGACCTCTTAAAGGTATATTTTATTTTTATTTCATTATATATTTATAATAATATAATATACCCTCTCACGGGTAAAACTTAACAACTTGCTACCATTGATTATTTGATACAGCATAAATAATATATCTTACAAATGATGGCCAAACCTGGCGATTCATAATTTTTACAACTAAACATCACAAAGTTAACGCTAACATGTAATAACACTAACATAACAAAAATATTTTCACTGTTCATTCATAGGATATGTAATTTAATAATAATTTGCAACCCATACTTATTTTTTTCTGCATCTTTGCACTTTTATGTAAGTGATATGAGTTATTTGTTGAAACTAATGTATTTATCCACGTAAATACTTATCCCCAATTAATTTCCCGTATGAATGGCGAGTACTCTGGGATAGTGGGAATATAATTTATTAGCGTGAATGGTGTGGCTTATCTCCCATTATCCGTAGGAATCGCANGAATGTACTTTATTAGCGTGGGTGAAGAGAATTGTCCCAAATTACCTCAAGGAATATAGTCTACTCTGGGGTAGTAGGAATGTATTTTCTGTGCTTCAATGGGTGGCATAATCACAATTTCCCGAAAGGATATAAACTACTTTTGGGTGTTGTGAACGAATTTATTAGCGTGAATGGTAGGGCTTGTCAGTATTTACTGCAAGGAATGTCGAATATTCTTGGGTAATGTGATTGACTTGTAATGTCATGTGACATGTGAATGTGAAATCTGGTGTGTGAATGTACTTTTAAAGTAAGTTTTCCGGATTCCTATGACAAATTCCGCAGGCTTCTGTCTCGAGTTCATCCAGTTGTAACCATTTCTATCTTTATATGTTTGTTTAGTGCATCTTTTATATTATTTTGGGAATGACATTTTTCCCTTCTGATGCAAAAAGTACGATGGTTGCTCATTTGCAAGTTGGCCAACCCGTTCATTCCTTTCTATCATGTCCCGATCCGGCACACCCATCAGGGTTAGCTGACTGGTTTTTTTTTTTTTCAGTGCGTTAGAGAAAAGTTTGCCGTTCCCAGGAGAGCTTTGAGTTTAGGGTGAAGTCTACGGCCTGCAGTGCTGCTTGGCTGTCTGAGAATAAATTCATCTCTCTCTTTTTAATTCAATTTTAGGAAGATCACAGCTTGGGAAAATTGAAAGTGCGACGGCTAGAAATTTCGCTATGAGACAATTGAGCCTGTAATTTCTGATCCCATACCACGTTATATTTTATATCCGTCAGTATTTTTATCTATTGCTTTCTGTGGTTTTTTTAAAAATTCTTTCATGTCTTGTTATTTTTATCTGGAAGGATCTGTCGAAATTTTCTTTTAAATTACGTTTATCCATAGCATACCATAGAGTTGATTCTTTAGCTTTTTCATGAGCACTATCGTTTTTAATAATGTCGCAATGAACTGGAATTTGCATAAACATTATCGATGATTAATTTCTGATTTAAAAGCCAACAATATTTCCTAAACGAGGTGGTTATCAGTTTACTACAGGGTTTGCAGATCATAGAGTCCGAGCATGCAAACAAATCCACGCTACGTGAACAAATTATGCCCAAATACTTTTTTCCAAGCACTGTAATGGCCAAATACGTGAGAAAGAAAAAAAAGGTATATCATGTTGTCCCAGGTAAAAGTTCCTCCTTGGAATTTCTGGAACCATCCTGTACGCGTTGCTTTAAGATGAGCATGCAAAAGTTGTGTGTGTTTGGCATAGTAAGATTTATGTCCTCGGTAGTACAAAAAAGTGTGGATAAGCCAATTATGGCAGTATAGGATGTACCAAATCCCTACGTGAACAATTTATTAGCCAAATTTACCCAATTTTCGTTCCCAGGTTGGCGGTTTCAACACGGACATCAAAGGCTGGGGTAAAGAGGATGTCGACCTGTTTGACAAATTCATCGCCACGGCTGCTAACACGACCATTTTCCGTTCCGTGGATCTCGGGATGGTCCACGTTTTCCACGTCGTCGACTGCGACCTCACCCTGGAGGCCCAGCAGCTCAAAATGTGCAAAGCGACACGGGCGGACACTTACGGCAGTGTAAAACAACTTTCAGAATATTACAACAACAACAGGCTGAAAATCGACACGATTTTCCATCTGACGGCCAGCTAATGGCGTATAATTTCATTTAGACTGGGCTGTTGAATTTTTGAAAAAAAAAATGTCTGTACAGTCAACGTGCCAAAATTAAAATTAAAATTTTTTTATCCTTTAATTTTTTTTTCAAAATGTTTTAAAGTCATAAGATAATTTATTTGTTAAATATGTAATATTTATGAAAAAATCAGTTATGTATATCATCTACTTTAATAAAGTAGTATTTTTATAATGTTCTTATTCTGATTTCCATTTATTACTCAAAAACCACTTTTAATTTAGCCACAATAATTTTCATAATAATAAAAAACTGACTTTAATAGTTTTATTATATGTAAAAAAGGTTAAACCTGTTCAAATGGAGACAATAGAACTTAGTTAAATTTAATTAATTAAAATTTTGGATGTTAACAGATTGAAACGTTTCCTCTCGAAAAATTTAAAAAAGAGCATTTTTAAAATATGTTGATAATATGCATACAAAACAGCATAAATATGTCTGCAATTTTATTGTGCAGTTTTAACCACTAATTTTGACGAAAGGAATCAAAAATATTATTTCTTTTTTTTTCCTAAGTTTGCAATGTTTTAATTAAAAACCTAAAACGTTCAGCTTTTAAATTTAATCCTTTAAAAGTTTTAATTTAGAAAAATTTCTTGTAAAAATATAAGAACTAAGGGTAAACAACGAATATTCACTTTTTTTTGCAACGGATTTAAAAATGCTTAAACAATATAGGTAATTAATTGTTAAGTAATTGTAAACTTTTTTAAATTAAAAAAATATTTTTCTTACAATTACAGTTGTATTTAACAATTCGTTCAAGTTGCTCTTGATTCACCTTCATTTTTTTAAAGTTATATATAATGACAATAAATTTTTATATCGCCATAATGGAAAATAAAAAATATAATACAGTTTTTTTGGAATCAATGTCGAATGAAAAAAAAAATTAATAAATAATTTTTTATTCTTCCATTACAGCTTGCTTTCCACAAGTTTATATATGGGACAGGAGGAGTTGTGAAATTAACATCGTCTTTTTATTATAATAAAACAAGTAAAATATAATAATTTAGAGAAAAAAGACTTTGGCAAACTTAATCTCTTGGGTCAAATCATGAATGTATAATTTTTTTGTGACTGACTAAATTTCTAAAACTAATGATATTTTGTTAATATTTTCCTAAATATATTTAATTTACCCTGTTAAAAAAATTATTTAATTGTATTTACTTTAGGTAAATCATGCCAATAGTTAAATCTTGTGTGATATAATTTTAAGGATTTATGAAATAATTCAAATTTTAACATATAAAGGCATGAAAATTGTAAAAATAATTGTTTTAAATTTAAAATTTCTTGTATAATAAATTTGTGTTGTTTATTTAGAATTATTTACATAAGACAATTTTGAATGGCTTTTGGGGCTTGCTAGTTCATCACATAACATAATAAGAATTGTGTTCAAAATAAACTGATTTTATTAGAGCGGATAAAGACAAAACATTTCTAAGAATTCGAAATTTGAAAAAAAAATTCAAATTTTATTTACAAATGCTTTGATCTGAAAATTAAAGTTTAAAAGTTGGCCCAGTAATACACCTAACTATTCTACTTTAGTTACAAAAGGACGAAGTTTGTAGAAACAATTGAACATTTTTTCTGCACGAATGTAAAATAATTTTATATTTGTTCAAATCTTGTTTGTTTTTTTAAAGAAAATCATATAATGAATTTTGATACTTGGAATAAATCCCTTCATTCACGCTAATAAATATCATTCACGCACCACAATTCATTCACACTACCCTCACTCGGTACTCCTCAAGGCAATTGGGCATATGACACACTATCCAAGCTAATAAATTACATTCACACTACCCCATAGTAGTCCACATTCCTCGGGGTAATTTTGTAATAAATCCAACCATTCACGCTAATAAATTACATTCACACACCACAATTCGTTCTCTCTACCCCATAGTTGTCCATATTCCTCGGGGTAATTTTGTAATAAATCCCTTCATTCACGCTAATAAATTACATCCAATCACCACAATTCACACTACCTCAGTGTAGTTCATATTTCTCGGTGTAATTTGAGATAAATCCCTTCATCCACGCTAATAAATTACATTCACACTACCCCATAGTAGTCCATATTCCTCGGGGTAATTTGGGATAAATCCCTTCATTCACGCTAAAAAATTACATTCACACACCACAATTCATTTTCACTGCCCCAGAATACATGGTATTCTTCGGGGTGATTTGGGCTAAGTCCTCCATTCACGCTAATAAATTTGATCCAAATTACCCCAGAGAACTCGATATCCCACGAGATAATTTGGGATAAGCTATACCATTCATGCTAATAAATTACATTCACACTACACCAGATTGCTGTTCCTCAGCGTAATTAGGAATAAGCATTCGCGTTAATGAATACATTCGTATTTATATAGAGAGTGGGAGGGAGAGTGAGTGTGAGAGAGAGAGAGAGAGAGAGAGAGAGAGAGAGAGAAAGAAAGAGAGGACAGAGAGCGGAGAGAGACAGATGGACAAACAAAGGAAGCTAATGTAAAAATAAAAATAAATTCTTGTAAATAAAACAAGATATAACCTCTACTATTACAACTACAAAAACTGCATAAATTAAATAAATAATAAATGCCTTAACATAATAATTGTATAAAAAAGCCAGGAATAGGTCGAATTTAGTGAACAACTCAGCTTCTTTCGTCAAGCTTTCAAGGAATCCTTTCATCAGGACTTCGAAAATATTTATTATAATTTACATGGTTAACATATATGTACATGTGCTTGCTATATTAAAATATTTAAACCATAATGTTTAGTGTAAATCATGAGAAATAGTTTTCAATTTCTGGCTATGGAATAACTAATGAAGGTACTGAGTCCTTTACTTTCTTTCAAATTTGCCTTAGTCTTGATTTTTTTTACAATATTTAATATTGTCAAACATGCCTAGAAAATAGAAATATTTTTACTTTTTTCCGATATACTAAATTTTGAATTACTACCGTGGTGATAATTTTACTTTTTGGACAAAATAAGCAGTGATTCTTCAGGAAAAAACATCAAATTTCATCCCATCGAAAGCAATAGCAACCAGAATATAATTTGAAAAAATTTGACAAATGAGACCATTATAAAATTATACTGCCTACTTAAATTTGATCCTTGCAGTATTACACGATTATCAATTAAATATGGGGTGCCACAGCTGATCAGCTTTAAGCCCTATCTTTTTTTCTCTTATTAACATTAACGATTTATTAAAATTTATTGGAAAATATTTACGATGATGACACTACGATTATTTATCCAGCAAAAAATTCAATTTAATTACTAACTTTACTAATAAAGGATTTTTGTATATAAAATATTTGCTTGATCAATATATCATATATTGTATATCAAGTTACCGCGAGGAATATGAACTACTATGGGGTAGAGGGAATGAATTGTGGTGTGTGGATGTAATTTATTAGCGTGAATGAAGGGATTTATCTCAAATTACCCCGAGGAATATGGATTACTATGGGGTAGAGAGAATGAATTGTGGTGTGTGAATGTAATTTATTGGCGAGAATGAAGGGATTTATCCCAAGTTACCGCGAGGAATATGAACTACACTGAGGTAGTGTGAATGAATTGTCGTATGTGGGTGTAATTTATTAGTGTGAATGAAGGGATTTATCCCAAATTACCCCGAGGAATATGGACTACTATGGGGTAGAGAGAACGAATTGTGGTGTGTGAATGTAATTTATTAGCGTGAATGGAAGGATTTATTACAGAATTACCCCGAGGAATGTGGACTACACTGAAATAGTGTGAATAAATTGTGGTGATTGGATGTAATTTATTAGCGTGAATGGTTGGATTTATTACAGAATTACCCCGAGGAATGTGGAGTACGCTGGGGTAGTGTGAATATAATTTATTAGCTTGGATAGTGTGACATATGCCCAATTGCCTTGAGGAGTACCAAGTAAGGGTAGTGTGAATGAATTGAAGTGTGTGAATGTAATTTATTAGCGTGCATGAAGGGATTTATCTTAAATTACTCCGAGGAATATGGACTACATTGGGCTAGTGTGGATGAATTGCGGTGTGTGAATGTTTTTTATTAACGTAAATGAAGGGATTATCCTAAATTACCCCGAGGAATGTGGACTACGCTGGGGTAGTGTGGAGGTAATTTATTAACTTGGATTGTGTGACATATCCCAAATTACCTCGAGGAAACCGAGTAAGGGTAGTTTGAATGAATTGAAGTGTGTGACTGGAATTTATCAGCGTGAATGAAGGGACTGATATAGACTGCTTTGCGGTAGCGGGAATGCCATTTATTGGCGAGAATGAAGGTACTTTTCTCAAATTATCTCGAGGAATATTGGGTACTTTGAATGAATTATGGTGTGTAAATGTGATTTATTAGCGTGAATGAAGGGATTTATCCAAAATAACTTCGAGGAATATAGACTACTCGAAAGTAGTGTGAATGCAATTTATTAGCGTGAATGAAGGGAATTTTCCCAAATTATATCGAGGAATATTGAGTACTCGGTGTTCTGTAAATGAATTTTGGTGGTAAATGTAATTTATTAGCGTGAATGAAGGGAGTTTTTTCAAATCGTCTTGAGGAATATCAACTACTTTGGGGTAGTGTGAATGAATTTTGGTGTATGAAGTAATTTATTACCGTGAATTAAAGAGCTTATTCCAAATTTACATCGAGAAATAGCGAATATTGTGGGCGTTCATCAACGTCGTCTGATTTTTTTTTAAGTTAGTCTAAGCAATATCGAATTTGAAATTGATTAGTTTTATCTAAATTTAATTTTAATTTTTTTACCCCACAACGTTTACTAGTCTTATGCAACTTACCTGGCAATTATAATGTATTATGTAATTAATCATTTTAAAAGTGCTTGACGGAATAGCAAAATAAGTCGTAATTATCAAACACATCGTACGTCAAACAGCATTACTAAGTTGATTCAGTCGAATGCTTTCTTCGGCTTAATCGATTCTCAAGAATCTGGACCGGAACAACTAGTGAACAG